GGAGACATTTCACTATGGACCACATACGGAGTAAAATGAATGAACTACACTCTATAATGCATCTATATACATCCGTATGTGGTTCATAGTGAAATTTCTACAAAGACTTATATTTAGGAACGGAGGGAGTATATGATTCTACATCACATTTTTCCACAGTTGTTCCTGCGCATAACTCCAGTGAGCATTATTACATAATCGAAGCCATATTAAAACATTCATTAGGGTATAAGTACAAAACATATCGTACTAAATTCGTTGTTTTGCATGTCATATTACTCTGTTGCGACATAAAATTCTGGTCCTGAAATGTTTAGTTATTCACTTGATTGCAGAGCCATGCAGGTCTTCTGAATCTATGCATTGTTGTGCTGATTGCAGTGAACAGCAGGCTCATTATCGAGAACTTAATGAAGGTTTGATCACTTCCCCTCCAGAAGGAGCACTTAGTTTTGGTGCTTTCTGCATAGTCTTTTATATGCCTTGACACGTTACCATGGTCTAAATTTGTTGCTCCAGTATGGCCTATTAATAAGAGCTGGGTTTTGGTTTAGTGCAAGATCGCTGGGAGATTGGCCACTTCTGATGTGCTGGTAGGTATAATTACTCACCCAGCTCTGGTCGGAATTTTCATGAAACAGTACTAGACTTTGTACAATTAACCAGTCTGTGAATTGCAGCCTCACTTTACCCATTTTCCCACTTGCTGCACTCATGACCGAGAAGTGGGCTCAAAGAAAGCTCATCCGTGATCATGTGAGTTTGTTTCTCAACATTCCTGAAGTCTCCATCATCAGTTCTTTTCAGAATGGCCTTTATCCAAGATTTATGCTCATTTATGCTCTTTTTATGTTTCTTCATCATTGTCATACGGTCAAATTTAGCATAAAATCCAATCTTTTTCAGTATTTTTTTAAGTGTGAATTGCTCATGACTCTGGTTTACCTCTTGCAGGTGTCTATTCTTCTCCATATAATTATTACAACCACTGTCCTTATCTATCCGGTTGTTGTGATTCTTAAGTAAGCATATTTATTTCTTTGGCTTTGGGGTTTGTTTGGATGCATCTACTTTTGAAATTTGTATATGATGGTTTGAAGTATACTCAGTTACATTCTCGGAAACAAAAGCACAGTCAGTTCATTCATTCATTTTTTCTATATTTAATGATGTGGAGATGTACTCGGTCCATGTGTTTCAAACATGGTTATTGCTATTTTTTTAAGTTGGATGTTAAACAATATAAATTGGTTGGCTAAAAGGAGACTACATAACTCTTCTATTTGGTTTCATGTGGCGATCTCTCATATCCTATCGTTGACAATATTATCTCCCTCCGATCCATATTAGTTGTCGCTCAAACGGATGTATCTAGCACTGAATTACGTCTAGATACATCCGTTTCGGCGACAAGTAATATGGATCGGATGGAGTACATGTCTATTGGATCAATGCGAGCCATCAGGTTGAGTGTCCAATCTAAAATTGTTCCATTGTTACTTTGCAAATTGAAAACAAAAATTGTCAGTTATTGTTATGGTGCTGCTAGAAGGAGGGCGCGAGAGGGCCGGACGGGGGCCTTTTTGCCCACGGCCGGGCAAGAGGGAAGGGATTTCCTTCTTAATTCTTGCTTGATTAGATTGATACATCTCCTCCCCTTATATAGAGAGGTTTACTTGACTCCCCAGCAAGGCTTACTTGACCCAAGTGACCCTTATCTCTAATTAACCCTAAGATTAACGGGCTATACCGCCAGCCCAGGCCCATTAGGCCCATTACGTACTCTTAACAGTTATTCAGATCACTTGAGAAATATGACTCATGACTTGCTAATAAGTTCTATTGGGGAGGTATGGGGCTCTTTAAAGTTATCACGTGTCATATGCTTGCGCGTTATCATGTCTGAATATCTGATAACTGACTTCTGTCACTGTTGTTCGTTAAACAATGGAGCTAGGATATCTGATAACTGACTTCTGTCACTGTTGTTCGTTAAACAGTGGTGCTCGGATTACAAGTCGATGGCAGTTTTGTGTTAGTTTTTCCTCATATTTTAGGAATGTTAATACTGGTCATGCATTATTTTTGAAGTCATGCATTGTGCCTACTAATTTTTGGTTAATGTTCTGGTTATACAGAAAGTTTTTCCTCAAAAGATACTCCCTCCGTCCCATAATATAAGACGTTATTACATAGTATTTTATTGCATAAATTATGGAATTTTAGTTACATTGAATGTATTTCAGGTGTGAATCAGCAGTATTATCTGGATTTGTGTTAATGTTCATTGCAAGGATTACTTGGTTGAAGCTTGTCTCTTTTGCTCATACAAATTATGATATAAGGGTGTTGTCCCAAAGTATTGAAAAGGTATGAGTGCAATGTGTTATTACCATTTTAGTGCAATTGTAGTTGCCAAAACATCGAGGACTAATACAACTTGTGTGTCTCTTAACATCGAGGACTAATACAACTTGTGTTGCCAAAACATTTGTGTTACTATTATCTGGATAATAAATCGTTGACCAATGAACTTTTTTCTTGTGTGTCTCTTAATCGTAAATCTTTCTAGAAGATTGGACCATGATCTTGCTTCTGTCAATACTTAAGGAAATAACTACCTTAATTTGTGTAGCTACTCATGTTGTGCTTATACAGAGAATTGCCAGATTAATAATTTCTAACATGAATGTGAATATTTCCTCTTTGTTCACTGTTCACAATAATAATTCCCCTTTTTATGTAATAGGGTGCTACACATGGCAGTTCTATCGATGAGGAAAACATTAAAGGCCCAACTATCAACAGTGTTGTGTATTTCATGTTGGCCCCAACACTTTGTTACCAGGTGCTATTTTTGGGCTAGTGTGTATCATTTCTTCTTCTGATTCCATGTTACTCGTATTACTTAATTATATTGGATGTAACTAGTTACATCAGTGTTAAGTTATGGCTTTTCTGATGCCATTCTGTTGCATTATGCAGCCAAGTTATCCCCGGACAGCATTTACTAGGAAAGGCTGGGTCACTCGGCAGCTTATAAAATGCGTAGTTTTTACAGGCTTGATGGGCTTCATAATTGAGCAAGTGTGCCTGTTACGTGATCCCTAACGTTAATTTTATACATATAGTTTCTGTATTGAAATTACCTAACTCCTTTTTTTGGCAGTACATTAATCCAATTGTGCAGAATTCCAAGCATCCATTAAAAGGAAATTTCTTGGATGCTATTGAGAGAGTCTTGAAACTGTCAGTGCCAACATTATATGTATGGCTTTGTATGTTCTATTCCTTTTTCCATCTGTGGTAAGCATCTTGATTACCTTCTCTTGTCACTTTACTTTTTTTTCCTTTGGCTCTACCAGTTGGGTACATCGCATCTATAAAGACACAGTACCATTGGATATTGTGATTTTCTACAGTACTGAACTTACTGATGTCATGATGGTTGCCTCATGCACGCGATCACATATCTGTAACTTTAATGTATAGAACACAGTATTTGATAAATGGGTTAACTATTTGAGAAACATAGTTTTATCGCAACAGTAAAATTAAGTTCTCGACAACCTTCAAATGCGTGGCTTCTACAGCTTCCATTCAATATTTTTGTATACAGGTTGAATATTCTTGCCGAACTCCTCCGTTTTGGTGATCGTGAATTCTACAAGGACTGGTGGAATGCCAAAACAGTTGAAGAGGTGAAAGGCCTGTTCAAAGTTTATCTTGTTTATTTTAGAGAAGTTTAGATGGAGCTGACACCGTTTAAATTTCCATGCATTTAAATCTGGCGGTATTTTGGGGGATTATCTCAGTACTGGAGAATGTGGAATATGGTAATCTTCTCACCCATCCTGAAGAATAGTTGTTCTGGACTAACTGGCAATTTCCTCCCAGCTGATAGCTGAGACATGTTCATAAGCCTGAGATAGTGTCTGATTGATTGGCATTATCATAATGTTATTTCTTAATTGTCATTAGTATGATATCCTTCCCTGACAATTTTCTACATGTCAGCCTGTTCATAAGTGGATCGTTCGCCATATATATTTTCCATGCATAAGGAATGGCTTGTCAAAGGTAATTTATTCAGATACACCTGTTATTCCTTCTGGTGGCCAGATTATAAAAAAATACCACATCTCTTTTCCGTGTTACATTTTGTTTTCATTCCCGTGGAAAATGGATCCTGCGTGATAGTTGAAATTTGGTTGGTTCACCATTGTTATATAGAGAACACTCACCATACTGAAATCTGCTAGTGCAGATAAACTGTTAGCGTGGTTAACCAGAGAACTATCAACCCAATTTAAAATACCTGACGTTGAGAATACAGATGTTAATACTTGATAATGTGTTGTTCTCTTGGCCTAGGACTTTTGCATGGTAATATCCATTTTTGTGAGACTACATTAACTAATATGCACGTTGACTAATCAGCAACATGTGATGAGTCTCGAAGGTAGAACAACATGGATAAGGAGCGCCATTTGAAAGCCAGGATATAGCATGGATGGTCAAGCAGAATACCTGAAATTCACTTAGCAAATGAGTGTAGATAAAAATAATATTATTCATTGTGCGTTTTGCTTTGCAGATTTTGTGTGGTTCTTTCTGTTGAGAATAGAGCTAATTTTGTTTTTTGAAATACATACTTATGAAAATTCATGTTGAATCTACACTGCAGGGTTGTGCCATTCTCATCGCATTTCTGGTTTCAGCTGTATTTCATGAGGTACCACACATATTTGAGCGTTCCACATTACATGCCCCTAGCTATCATTCTTTTATTTTTCCCAGTCACCAGCTAGAGTGGAAATGGCTTGGTTCCCTTTTTTATTGAGTAATGATCTAGGTTCGATATAAAGTTCTACTGGGAAAATCAAAGATATATACATGGAAATTTGAATCCTGGCACCTTTTCTGCTGCACGTTTATACTTGCATTGAAAAGGAAAGAAGCTGGTATGCCATCTCACATATGACCTTTATTTCATTGTCTTTGTCAACTTGCAGCTATGTATTGCTGTTCCATGCCACATTTTCAAATTATGGGCGTTTTCTGGAATCATGTTTCAGGTATGTATTGATTTGAAGGACACTTGTATTTCGTTCTTAATCTTCTTGGACTAGATCAGTACAGTATCTTCGATACTAGTTGATGCCCTGTGCGTGACCGCATATATAATAGATTAGTTCTGTGTATGCAAATTCGATAACAAAGATAGTCTAGCATATAAACAACAGACAATTCAGTACATAAAATTTGTCACATGCAAAAAATTCTGTGTATCAAGACTTAGAGATAGCAACACTGCAGCTTATTTTGAAAAATAACAGCCCATATACATGTCTATGCTTATTGTTACAAACTTAGATAATAATTAATCTCAAAGAAGATAATTTGCAATTGTCGCTTTGTGAAGGTTTAATACAAAATATACAATACAGCCATCTTCACTTAGCAGAACTGATTATCTCCACTCCTCCAAACATCTCCATGTGACGTAATAATAAGCCTAAGAGGAAAAATAGGCCAACGATCAAGAACAGCTGTCCAGGCTGTCGTTCAACAGTTCAACAGCCCGACACTGTGACAGGCAGCACTTCTCTTAGGCCATCACTGGGCACTTGGGCAGGCGGCCGGCGTCCATATGTTGGTGTAGGATCAGCCCCATTGCTGCTTTAAATCTGAAGAGCTGTTACTATGCAAATTTGTGATTGGTGCCGGTTTAGTTATTCTAAACTGCTGTTGTCGGTATCTCTAAATATCCACTTGTATCATTTGACTGATGTTCATGTCTGTCGTTCCCAGATTCCCCTGCTATTCTTGACGAAATATCTTCAAGAAAAGTTCAAGAACACAATGGTATGCCATGCTCACTGCAAAATTTCTCCGTCTTCCATTGTTTCCCCTGACACATCGAGCCCTGTTGAACTTGACAGGTGGGCAACATGATATTTTGGTTCTTCTTCAGCATAGTTGGGCAGCCAATGTGTGTTCTCTTGTACTACCATGATGTCATGAACAGACAGGCTCAGACAAATGGCTAGTTCTGTTTTAGAAGTGCACTATAACACAGATCATCCGAAGCAAATTGGCCCGAGGCAATGGAGCGGCGGCCTCCTTAACGTTTCGCAATGGGCTGTTAGAGCTAGCTATGCTACGAATCCAAGGTTGTCAGCATGATATGTTTCAATCCGTTACAGTTAGCTCGCTGTGTTCCAAATGTATGATATGCCGGCCGGGGTTTGTACCGAAGATACCCCAGTGATGAAGCCGAAGATAACAAGACCTGCCACATGTGTTTTGTGTATACTTTTCGGTTCACGTGCCGGCAGAGTTATGTACATGATGCCCTGTTGGATATAAAGTGCATGTGCCGTATGATGCAACCGCAACTGGCCTTTGAGGTCTGGATGAGCGAAAAGGCTCGCGCTTGAGAGAGTGTACGTACATAGGACTGACTGCATAGTCCTGTCACGTTGTTGTGAACCGACGTTGCCGGAAAGAATAATGTAGCACCAATTGCGAGGCAGTTTTGTCGCTCTTGTAAACCTTCTTTTGTGTGTGAAAGCTGGTTCATGTAAACCCGACCTAGAGCCTCCGTGCTCAAATGGTGTAACTGCAGCATGGTCAACCGAGGTTGACTCATCCAATTGATTGAATTTGGTTGTGTGTGTCGTATAAGGTCTGTGGTGTAGTATGGTCAACCGAGGCTGACTCATCCAATTGATTGAATTTGGTTGTGTGTGTCGTATAAGGTCTCTGGTGTAACTGTAGCATGGTCAACCGAGGCTGACTCCTGACTTGTTCAATTGATTGAATTTGGTTGTGTGTGCCGTATAAGGTCTGTGGTGTAACTGCAACATGGTCAATCGAGGCTGATTCATCCAATTAATTGAATTTGGTTATGTGTGCCTTATAAGGTCTGGATGAGCGAAAGCTCACGCTTGAGAGAGCGTACATACATAGAGCTGATTGCATCACGTTGTTGTTGTGTACCGACTTTGCTGGAAAGAATAATGTAGCAACAACTATGAGGTAGCTTTGTCGCTTGTGTAAACCTTTTTTTGGTGTGTGAAAGCTGACTCATGTAAACCTGACCTAGAGTCTCTCCGTCCGAATGGTGTAACTGCGGCATGGTCAACCGAGGCTAATTCATCCAATTGATTGAAATTGGTTCGCCCTGTTGGATGTAAAGTGTGGCGTATGAGGTATGGATGAGTGTTGGATGTAAAGTGTGCCGTATGAGGTCTGGATGAGCGAAAGGCTCGTGCTTGAGAGAGCGTACGTACGTAGGACTGACTGCATAGCCCCATCGCGTTGTTGTTGTTTACCGATGTTGCTGGAAAGAATAAAGTAGCAACAAATGCGAGGCAATTTTGTCGCTCGTGTAAACTCCTTTTTGGTGTGTGAAAGCTGGCTCATGTAAACCTTACCTAGAGTCTCTGTGTTCGAATGGTGTAACTGCAGCATGGCCAACCGAGGCTGACTCATCCAATTGATTGAATTTGGTTTGCCCTGTTGGATGTAAAGTGTGTGATGTATGAGGTCTGGATGACCGAAAGGCTCGCGCTTGAGAGAGCGTATGTACATAGGACTGTGTACATAGCCCGATCATGTTGTTGTTGTGTACCAATGTTGCTGGAAAGAATAATGTAGCAACAACTGCAAGACAATTTTGTCGCTCATGTAAACCTTTTTTTGGGTGTGTGAAAGCTGGCTCATGTAAACCTGACCTAGATCTCTGTGTTCGAATGGTGTAACTGCAGCATGGTCAACCGAGTCTGATTCATCCAATTGATTGAATTTGGTTTGCCCTGTTGGATGTAAAGTGTGTGCCGTTTGAGGTCTAGATGAGCAAAAGGCTCACGCTGCGTATGTACATAGGACTGACTGCATAGCCCCATCAAGTTGTTGTTGTGTACCGAGGTTGCTGGAGAGAATAATGTAGCAACATGCAAGGCAGTTTTGTCGCTCTACATTTCGTTATGGCTGGCTCATGCAAATCTTTTATTTTTGTGAAAACTGGCCCATGTAAACCTAACCTAGAGTCTCTGTGTTCGAATGGTGTAACTGCAGCATGGTCAACCGAGGCTGACTCATCCAATTGATTGAATTTGGTTCTGAAACGGCAAGATTGATTGATTACCAAATGACAAAGGTGCCTCGTACAATAGGTCAAAAATCCATAGCAAAACCAGAAAATTTGGGTTTTTGAAACAAACAAGACAATGCAGTTCCTTGGAACACAATTGCAAATGTGTGAGATCCTGGCTTAGGAATGATAGACTACTTATGACTCCTTTGGTTCATACGACATGAATATCATAGAAATAGGAAATTTGGAGAAAATGAGATGACATGTATCTCAATTCATATCAATAGAAATAAGAAAAAAGATGTCATTTGGTTCACATCATAGAATTTTTTTCATTGAGTATAGACTAATGTTTATTTTCCTTTAAAATATGAAGGGTATGAACTAATCCTATGTAGGAATAGGAACAAAGGACTTTAAAAGAAAAATTCCTATAAAAATCATATCCTATAAAATTCCTCCAAACCAAAAAAGGTCTCATATGAAAAGGCGCATCTTCTTTTTCGGGAGCCCATAATCTCAAAAGTAAGCATGCTTCGCAACAATTTGTGGATGAATGATCGACTGAAAAGTTGATTCTGGGTGCACACGAGTGGGGACAAAATGCATAGAAAAGATTATTGTTGGTGTGTGAGGCTGGTCTAGATCCTGGGTGGTAGTCAAACACATGACCGGGAATTGATGGGTGAACCGGTGGGTTCAGCCGGGGTATTACAATTGGTATAAGAGCGGACCCTCGTGGTTACACGGACATGTGATGCATGGTGTGTGTGTGTCACCCGTCATAGAACACAACACGACACATGTGTCAAACTAGACGCACAACCATGTGCCAAGAGGGAACGTTTTTGCTCGGCCGACGAGGACACTAGTTTATTTGAGTGGGGGTGTATGTGACATCCTGGATAATAAGAGTGATAGACTAATCGTATCAACAAGGTGCATCTTCTTCTCCGGGAGTCCATCCGAAAGAAACATCAAAGTTAAGCGTGCTTGGTTTGGAGCAATTCGAGAATGGGTAACTGGTTGGAAAGAACCTCCTGCTCTATAGCCCAACCTCTCGCTTGCCAGCCACACGACATCTTGAAAGTCCATCTAAGAGAAGTCCCAATGCACTATATATTAGGCTATATCCGGTGAGTAGTCCAAGTGCACTATATCTAATGTTGTATCTAAAACAACCCCATTTAATTTCTTTTGTGAGAGAAAAGTTATGAAGTCTTGAATTTGATGCTATGATCTATATCTTGATTAAGATACGTTTTTTATTCGGCCTGGCCGAGACCATGCCGGTGCTAACCCACAAGTATAGGGGATCGCAACAGTTTTTGAGGGTAGAGTATTCAACCCAAATTTATTGATTCGACACAAGGGGAGCGAAAGAATATTCTCAAGTATTAGCAGCTGAGTTTTTAATTCAACCACACCTGGAAACTTAATATCTGCAGCAAAGTGTTTAGTAGCAAAGTAATATGATAATAGTGGTAACGATAGCAAAAGGTAACGACAGCAAAAGAAATGTTTTTGGTATTTTGTAGTGATGATAACAATAACAACGAAAAAGTAAATAAGCGAAGAACAATATATGGAAAGCTCGTAGGCAATGGATCATCGATGGATAATTATGCCGGATGCGGTTCATCATGTAACAGTCATAACCTAGGGTGACACAGAACTAGCTCCAGTTCATCAATGTAATGTAGGCATTCATTTCGAATATAGTCATACGTGCTTATGGAAAAGAACTTGCATGACATCTTTTGTCCTACCCTCCCGTGGCAGCGGGGTCCTAATGGAAACTAAGGGATATTAATGCCTCCTTTTATAAAGTACCGGACCAAAACATTAACACATAATGAATACATGAACTCCTCAAACTACGGTCATCACCGGGAGTGGTCCCGATTATTGTCACTTCGGGGTTGCCGGATCATAACACATAGTAGGTGACTATAGACTTGCAAGATAGGATCAAGAACTCACATATATTCATGAAAACATAATAGGTTCAGATCTGAAATCATGGCACTTGGTCCCTAGTGACAAGCATTAAGCATAGCAAAGTCATAGCAACATCAATCTCAGAACATAGTGGATACTAGGAATCAAACCCTAACAAAACTAACTCGATTACATGATAAATCTCATGCAACGCATCACCGTCCAGCAAGTCTACGATGGAATTACTCACGCACGTCGGTGAGCATCATTAAATTGGTGATGGAGGATGGTTGATGATGACGACGACGAATTCCCCTCTCCGGAGCCCCGAACGGACTCCAGATCAGCCCTCCCAAGAGAGTTTAGGGCTTGGCGGCGGCTCCGTATCGTAAAACGTGATGAATCTTTCTCCTTTATTTTTCCCCCGAACACGAATATATGGAGTTGGAGTTGAGGTCGGTGGAGCTCCAGGGGGCCCACCAGGCAGGGGGCGCGCCTCCCACCCTCGTGGCCAGAGTGTGGCCCCCTGGCCTTGATTCTTTGCCAGTATTTTTTATTATTTCCAAAAACAATCTCCGTGGAGTTCCAGGTCATTCCGATAACTTTTGTTTCTGCACATAAATAACACCATGGCAATTCTGCTGAAAACAACGCCAGTCCGGGTTAGTTTCATTCAAATCATGCAAGTTAGAGTCCAAAACAAGGGCAAAAGTGTTTGGAAAAGTAGATACGGCGGAGACGTATCAACTCCCCCAAGCTTAAACCTTTGCTTGTCCTCAAGCAATTCAGTTGATAAACTGAAAGTGATAAAGAATTTTTTTTACAAATTCTGTTTGCTCTTGCTGTTGTAAATATGCAAAGCCAGCATTCAAGTTTTCAGCAAGTCTTATGAACTAACCACATTCACAATAACACTTAGGTCCCATGTTTACTCATATCAATGGCATAATCAACTAGCAAACAATAATAATAAATCTCGGATGACAACACTTTCTCAAAACAATCATG